ACTCCTCTCTTTCCCTTATCCCTACCTCCAGGAAATCCTGTTGGCTCTTCCTCCAGAATATTTGCAAAGTCTTAAGCACTTCTTACCATCTCCACTGTTGCCTCCATCCCATTCCATTCCATTATCGTAATAGTTTCCTAACCCATTTCCCTGCTTCTGCCCTAGTCCACCTAAATTCTGTTATTTACATAGCAGCCTGAGTGTCAAATCATATTAGTCCTCTTCACAAAACCTTCCAGTGGTTCCCAATTTCTCACAGGCCAAAGACCTTACAATTGCCTACCAGGCTTTATACACTCTGGTCCCTAATTTCATTCAAGTCAAGGCTCAAATGATACCTCCTACTTTGATCATCCCAGTTAAAACTGGAACACCCTTCCCAAGCTCTGTTATTTTCCATAGCATTTATCACATTCTGATTGGGGGAATAGATGCCACAGAATTAGTCCAGGCTGACCACCACACAAACAACAAATCTAAAAATAGCAAACCCCACCACACCTGGATTGGGAGTGGGTTAATGAAGGGTCCAGAGCTGCTACAACATATTATCTAAAAGAAACAGGATGTACAAAGAAACAGCAAAGTGTGACCCATACTCAGGAAAATAAGGAGTCAACAGAAAACTGCCTCTGAGGGGTCAGTGTTATTGCGATCAGTGCAATTATAGTTTTTTTTGTCCTGCATTTTCACATAAGATTATATTAGAAACAACTTCATAAGTCATTAAAACTTCTATGAAAATAATATATATATATATTTTTTTTTTGAGGCAAAGTCTCCCTCTTTCGCCCAGTCTTCTGGGTTCAAGCACTTCTCCTGCTTCAGCCTCCTAAGTAGCTGGGATTACAGGCATGCGCCACCACGCCTGGCTAATTTCTTTGTATTTTTAGTAGAGATGGGGTTTCCCATGTTGGCCAGGCTGGTCTTGAACTCAAGTAATCCACCCACCTCAGCCTCTCAAAGTGCTGGGATTACAGACGTGAGCCACCGCACCCAGCCACATTTACCACATTCTAACAGGCCACATAATTTGCTTATTTATTTTGTTTATTGGCTGACACGTGTAATCCATACAAGGGCTAATTTTCATATGTTTTATTCACTGATGGATCCCCAGTGGGTAGAACAAGACTTGGCATGCACTAGGCACTCACAAATACTTATGGAATGAATAACTAAATAGTATAGTAGATTGCAAACCAACAGTTTATGGAATTAAGTAGGAACAAACATACAACGATGTGAAGATCATTTACTATGTTAATTAATATAATAACACGGTACAGTGGAAAGATCATGGGGTGACTGGGTGCGGTGGCTCACACCTGTAATCCCAGCAGTTTAGGAGGCCGAGGTGGATGGATTACTTGAGGTCAGGAGTTTGAGACCAGCCTGGCCAACATGGGAAAACCCATCTCCACTAAAGTGACAAAATTTAGCCGGGTGTGGTGGTGTGTGCCTGTAGTCCCAGCTACTTGGGAGGCTGAGGCAGGAGAATCACTTGAACCTGGGAGGCAGAGGTTGCAGTGAGCCGATCATGCCACTGCACTCCAGCCTGGGTGATAGAGGGAGACTCCGTGTCAAAATAAATAAATAAATAAATAATAATAAAAAGTAAAAAGAAAAGCGATTACCAAGACAACTACCGCAGACTGGGAATTTCTGAAAAGCCTCAACTTTATTTATTTATTTATTTTGAGATAGCTTCTAGCTCCGTTGCCCAGGCTGGAGTGCAGTGGTGCAATCTCCACTCACCATAACCTCTGCCTCCTGGGCTCAAACCATACTCCTACCTCAGCCTCCTGAGTAGCTGGGACCGCAGGTCCGCGCCACCACGCCAGCTAATTTTTGTATTTTTAATACAGATGGGGTTTCACTATGTTCGTCAGGCTGGTCTCCAATTCCTGACCTCTAATGACCCCCTGCTGCACCCTCCCTCCCCCCACCCCCCGCCCGCCTCGGCCTCCCAAAGTGCTGGAATTACAGGCGTGAGCCACCACGCCCGGCCTGAATTTCTTAAAAAACAAAAACAGGAGGGAGGAGGAGGGTATGCAGTATCCTAAATCCTCAGAACCCCTGGGGAGGAACCTTATTCCAACTCCACCAGCACTCCCAGGCCCAAGCCTCTAGCATACTTCCGACCTCGCTGGCTGCTAGATAGCTATTGAGGAATGTGTATTCTCAAATACTTAGGCTACAGGGCTAAGAAAAGACTGCTTCCATCTGCCTCAGTGGGACTCTACCAGTGTGAAAGGATACTCTCAAGGTATTTAACGACTCCCATTACAGTCCAGAAATTGGTGGGGAAAGTTAAAATATCTTTTCTTTTCTTTTTTTTTTGAGACGGAGTTTTTGCTCTGTTGCCCGAGCTGGAGTGCAGTGGCTCACGCTTGTAATCCCCGCACTTTGGGAGGCCAAGGCGGGCGGATCGTGAGGTCAGGGGTTTGAGACCAGCCTGGCCAACACAGTGAAACCCCGTCTCTACCAAAAATACAAAAATTAGCTGGGCGTGGTGGCGGACGCCTGTAATCCCAGCTACTGGGGAGGCTGAGGCAGGAGAATTGCTTGAACCCGGGAGGTGGAGGTTGCAGTGAGCCGAGATATGCCACTGCACCCCAGCCTGGGCAACAGAGTTAGACTCCATCTCAGAAACAAACAAAAACAAAAACAAACAAACAAACAAACAAAAAACAAGAAAAGTTAGCCGAGCATGGTGGGACGCGCCTGTGGTCCTAGCTATTCGGGAGGCTGAGGCGGATGGATCACTTGGGCCCGGGAGGTCAAGGCTGCAGTGAGCTGTGATCATGCTTCTGCCCTCCAGCCTGGCCGAGAGTCAGACCGTCTCAAAAAATAATAATAACAACATGAAAATAAGAAATAAGAGTGAAAGAGGCATCATTGGTTGAAGATAACTTTGGGGGGGTGTTATATAGTAAACGTATAGATTGACTGAAAGACACAGCAGTTTTAGAAACTACAATAAGTATCCAAAAAAGCACATTTGAAATTCCCCATATGAGACCTTGCAATGTCAAAATAAGGAGGGGTGGGGGGCACGGTGATCACACAATGGCTATGACATCACTCACTACATTTATACCTGGTACACAGAGCGCAGAAACGTTTCAGCTCTTGCTTGAATGAAGAACAGAAGCCTCTCTTTAGACAGGTCAGTGCCAGATAGTAATGTATAGCTTAAAATGTCTGTTAGTTAATGTACAAAAATCCAAATTCAGCGTTTAGATGTTCGGGAATACTGTATGAAAATTTAAATATTCAGAAGTGGAATGTATGCATTTTTAAAGTTTATGGTTTAATTTTTAAAATTTTGTTGTAATGTGATAAATTCTGGGGTAATTTGTCATATAGTCACAGATGCAAATACAGCAAGCAGGGATTTTAAAATAATGAACAGAAATATCTTAAAGGAGCTATTGGAAAAGATGGAAAGAAAGTGTGAACAACTTGGGAATTTCTGTGTCTTAGTTTTTTTTAAGCTTGTAAGTTTAAATCGGAATAAGGAAGCTTTTTTCCAAAAGATTGAGGTGATTCTGTTATCTCTCCCACGAAGTAGTCTACTTCAGCAAAACAGTACACCGTGTGCTATTTTGGCCTCGGGAAAGATAGAATGTTCGAGTTTGCTAGAAAGAGATAATGATCGCTTTTAGCGACACCTCTCACGGAAAGTTCATCGGGATATTGGTCTAGAGAGAAAATGGCGGCGGGGGGTGGGGGTGGGGGAAGCCGAAATACCTCACTTTAGGATCTGCTATGGGCAATGGATGCCCTAATTTAAGGTTAATTGTAGAATCACGGGCTTCCAACTGTGTATTTCCGTCATCTACACTTTTCCCACAAAGAGATGCCATAATAAATTTACAAACCAGTCCTATAGTCTAGTTTTATATTCTTAAGTCAAGAAAAGGTAATATTTAAAAAGTACTAGCTAGAATTCTACAGCTGATGTGTTAAAAATGAACAACAAAAATCACTGCCCTCTGAACGTTCTTATTTTGACGCAAGTGGAAACAGAACAGCTTTTTTAAATCCGGCATTATCTCCGGGTGGTGCAGACATGCAATTTTTTATGAATTTTCCCACCCCTGGGAAATCGATTTCTGAAACGTGTAATTGTTGTGCAGCAAGCCAAGTGGACAGTGACGCAATAATCCACTGCAAGTTGCCTTACAAAAATGATGTCATTTGGCGCAGATCTAGTCACTTTTATAACAGGTAGCTATGGAAAAGCTCCCTCCACGTTGTCCCCGATTCCCCCACCCCCACCGTGGCCAAGATGCAAAAAGACACTTTCCTGGCTTCCTAGCCCTCAACTTGTCGAGGGTGGGCGCACCTCAGTGGCTCGGGGCCCATCGCTCGTGCAGGCGGAGAGGGACCAAGGGGACGAGGACAGCTGAGTGTCCTCAGCCCCGACGGCGGCGCCGCGGGGGAAGCTGCGTCGGGCCCAGTCTGGGGCCGCGACGCCCGGTCGCCTGTTTTCCTCGGTGGGAAACCGCTGGCGTGGCGGGCCGGCAGCCGGGACGCGGGGCGCCGCGGGCGCGGGACAGCCTTCCCCGCCAGCCCCCCACCCCCGTTCCCACACCGGCTCCCGCTCCCGTGGCGCCGGAAGTGACGCGCTTTAGGCTGAAAGATGGCGGCATTGGCGCTCGACCAGGGGGAAGGTAAACACCCGCCAGGCCACAGGCTGGCCCCCTCGGGGCGCCAGCAGGGGCCGAGGGGGGGCCTCCCGGGCCAGCTCCCCGCCCCCAACGGCTTCCCACCCTCCGCCCTCTCTCCCAGCGTGGCGGGCTTCCGCGTCAAGACGACGGCGCACGGGGCCCCGTGCCGGCCAGCCCCGCCTCCCTGGGCGGGCCCCGGGCGGCTCCCGCGGCCCGCAGGGGGCGCGCGGCCCGGAGCGGCCCCCGGCTCGTGGCCCCGCACGCCCCGCCCCTTCCCCGCCCCTTTCCCGCCTTCCTCCACCCCCGGCGTGGGTGATCCCGAGGCTCGGCGCGCTTCGGGGCAGAAGCTCGGAGACGCCGTCCTCGACGCTACCTTCTCTGGTGCTTCTGTCTCTGCCTGCTGCCCCCCAGCCCTTTCCCCCGCCCGCGGCCCCAGTCGGCCCTCCCGCCGAGCCCCGCCGGGTGCTGCGAGGCCCCCGGCGTTGGCAAGGTCGGTCCGGGCCCCGACGCCGCGCCGCCTCGTGCGGAGCCCGACTGTCTGGTTTCGCGACTCAGCGCTGTCTTCTTTCCCAGGACTTATCCAGAGGGTGCTGCAGGCGAGCACGCTCGTGCCCCGCCGGAGCGACCCGGCTCGTGCCGGCAGCGGCCGCTCGTAGACGTCCGAGAAGCCTGCCGAGTGCCGTCCCGGCGCCCGACCGCCCACCCATTGGCCCGCCGGCCCGGTTCTTCCTGATGCAGACTGCCGTCCACTAGAGGCTGGACAGGACCCCCCGAGGTACGTAGCCGCCCCTGGCCGCCGGCCTGCGGAGCCCGGGCTTCGCCCGCGACCCCGAGCTAGGCACGAATTCGCCGGCCCTCTCTACACGGACCCGAGTCAAACATTGGGTAGACGCCGGGACCTCATTTGTCTTTGAGTTTACTTAAATTGTTTGAAATGTAATTTTTTTTTTTTCCCCAGAGAGAGCGAGAAAGAAAAAGGAAGAAGCATAATTCAGCCATTTTTTGCAGCACACAGCTGCAGGTACCATGATTATTTTTTCCCTAACCCGTTCCTTCCCTTTAACAATTCAATTTATGCCTGAAATAGAACTATGCGAAATGCGAGGCATAAAACTAGGAATCGGAAGGTCTGGGTTCGACTTGGGTGACTCTGAGAAAAAATCGCGTACCGAGCCTCGGTTTCTTATCTATGAAATATAGTCGGTAGTACCAACATCGCAGGGTTGAGAGGACTATATGAGGTCATATATGTGAAAATAATCCTTAACTGTAGAGTGTTGTAAGAATTCAAGGCCGTTTTTTAAAGTAACCTTTGCTAGAGTGGTTAATGTAGTGGCTAACTGTTGCTGCCTCTTTATTTCTATATTACAAATAAAAGCAAATAAGTACGGAATAATAGTAAAGCAGTGCTGTGAATCCATAGATCTATAATAGTCACGTTGCTTGGCCTTCCTCCTACGAAGTGCTAACTGCTTATTTAAATAACGGTATTCTTTAATTCAAATGTAACGTTACTGTAGGCGCTTTGCTTTTCCTCGTTCTAGGCCGCTTTAGGCCCCTTTTCTTACTCTGAATATTTAGTTAACACCTTACATTTGTTTAGTCTTTTCTGTTTTCCGAATTTGTTTGCCTTTGTTGATCTGATTAAGTGGTAATTTAGAAAATGCCTTGCAGACATACATACCCTAATTTTAATGCCTGTTTTTCATATCTAGGGAGCAGGATGCTCTAATACTTCTACTAATTTGAAAATTGGTTAAGAGCTTATCAATGCATTCATGTTTCAGTAATCCTTAATAGATCTAGAAATGTATAGAACATTTCAACTTTTTAGCACTTAATGTAATTATATAATTTGATTCTCATTTTTAATCATCACATGTAGTAGGTGCTTAGAGTCACAGTTTATCAGTGGTAGAGGATGTTAACTTGCACTCTTCATTGCTGATTAATTTGGGGAAAGAATAGGATAGTAAATATTTGTGGTTTGAAAATTGAATTTATTTTGCCAGAATTTATATGTGTAACAGATCAGTATGGATCATTTTTACTTGGCACATCAAAAATATAGTATGGTTTGGCTTAAATGGTCCACAAAAAGTGAAAAAGAAGCATTTTTGGGTACATTGTTATTTTTAGCTAACAAATGGTTTTGAGTAGTTAGGTTTTATTAAATTTATGATTGTCTAGTCCAATATCAGTTGTCTTTTCAGAGTATGCTTTTGTGTTTTGTAAAAAGGCAGAATAATAGAAGTTGGACAGGATTAACATAGTAAAAGGAAAAGCCTACTTCAAAGTGGTTGGTTTTATAGATTGGATTTATCACTTAACTTGAAGATAAAATTTTGACAAATCATTGCTTTATTGGGAATTTGAAGGTTCGACCTTCTCTCTACCTCGAGTCGGGTTATCTCAGAAACCTAACCTTGACCAGGGCAGGCTTGCCTTCATGGATGTTCAGAAGGGCCCCACGCTTGGTTTAATAATCTGCATGTAAAACTGGGATTGTACAGTATAAGAGTGAATGGTAAAAGTCATGCTAATTTAAATTTTTAATTTTCCTTTACTCAGAACGACATTAAACATAAAATTTAAAAAACACCCATGAGAGCCGGGAGCGGTGGCTCACGCCTGTAATCCCAGCACTTTGGGAGGCCGGGAGTTTGAGACCAGCCTGACCGACGTGGAGAAACCCCGTCTCTACTAAAAATACAAAATTAGCCGGGCGTGGTGGCGCACGCCTGTAATCCCAGCTACTCTAGTTCTAGCTACTCTGGAGGCTGAGGCAGTAGTAGAATCTCTTGAACCCGGGAGGCGGAAGTTCTGGTGATCCAAGATGGCGGCATTGCACTCCAGCCTGGGCGACAAGAGCAAAACTCCGTCTCAAAAAAAAAACGCCGTGAAATAGTCGAGAGATACAGAAGAAAGGAAAAAGCTTTATATTTTACTGCTTTTGACGACTTTTTTTTTTTCTTTTTTTTAAGACAGAGTCTTGCTCCGTCGCCCAGGCTGGAGTGGAGTGGCGCGATCCTTGCTCACTGGAATCTCCACCTCCTGGCCTCAAAGGATTCTTGGGCCTCAGCCTGCTGAGTAGCTGGGATTACAGGCATACACCACCACGCCCGGCTAATTTTTGTATTTTTGGTAGAGACGGGGTTTCACCATGTTGGCCAGGCTGGTCTCAAACTCCTGGACTCAAGTGATCCGCCCGCCTTGGCTTCCCAAAGTGCTGGAATTACAGGCGGGAGTCGCCGCACCCAGCTTTTTTTTTTTTTTTTTTTCGTCTTTTGAGACAGCCTTGCTCTGTCTCCTAGGCTGGAGTGCAGTGGCGCGATCTCGGCTCACTGCAACCTCCGCCTCCTGGGTTCAAGCTATTCTCCTGCCTCAGCCTCTCTGGTAGTTGGAATTACAGATGCGCGTCACCATGCTCAGCTAATTTTTGTATTTTTAGTAGAGACGGGGTTTCACCACATTAGCCAGGCTGGTCTCGAACCACTGACCTCAAGTGATCCGCCCGTCTCGGCCTCCCAAAGTGCTGGGATTGCAGACGTGAGCCACCGCGCCCGGCCATCGCCCAGCCTTTTAACGCCATTTTTCCCTGATTTTGAACAAGAGTCCCCGCAAATGATGTAGGTGGCCTGTTGTCAAGCCTGGCCTTTCCCAGTGCAAATGTTTTGAGAGTGAATAATGTTAACTGTGAGGAGAATGAATCTTTAGCTTAGAGGAGGTGGATTACTTTATTAGCATCTATTTTCTCTGAATTGGAGTACTATATCTCATGTGGTTTTTATTGAAGAGAAATGAAAGTTGGAGCAATGGGTGAGGCATTGTAGAACAGTGTTTAATCAGGAAGGCTCTGAAGTCAGGCGGACCCCAACTTCACAACTTTCTAATAATTATATAGCCTTGGGCAAGTTACCTAACCTCTGAGCTTTGATGTTCTCATCTTTAAATCAGGGATGGATACAAAACATGGAAGGTTGTGAGGATTAAATTTATCCGTCTTTCCAACAAATATTTATTAAGCACTTATTATGTGCCAAGCACTGTTTTAGGTGCTGGAGATATAACAGTCAAGGAAGCAAAACCGCCAAATTGAAGCAGAAAGGAAACTTAAGTAAAATGGATAGCCTGTATTGCCATTTAGTATACTGCAGAGAAAAATAAAGTGGAGGAGCATGGGGATTGTCTGGTTGATGGGGCAGACGGAGTTTTGCAACATTAAAAGAGGGTGTTTGAGGAAGGCCTCACTGAAATGACACAAAAGACCCTAAGGGAACCATATATATCTGGGGATAGTGTGATCCTGGCGGAGGGAACAGGGTGTAGAGAGGCCTTAAGTTGGGAGTGTAGCTGGTTTTCAAGGAACAGCAGCACCAAGGGAGATAGTAATATAAGATGATTATTATTATTGCCATTTTAAGAATCATTGGAAAGGCTCTCATAGTTCATCTCTGCCAAGGGTATATGTTGAATTGCTGCTGGTCCAAAAGTGGAAGGCCTTTTCAGAATTTGAAATTTTAACTTTGGAAACAAATTAGGAAAGGCAAAATATGTTGTCAGGTTTTCTGTTTTTAATGTAAGACCCTTAAAACCCATCACGCTCAATCACTGAAACATACAAGAATGGATAGAAAAAAATACTCTTTGCTCTGATAAGATCTTTGAATTTAGTTAATGATATATATCATAGACTTTAATGATTTGCAGGAAATCTATATCATAACAGCAAGACCTTCCAAAATATTTAGTTTGGTTCTATAATTCTTATGAGGAACTGAAAGGCTAACATTACAGTATTTGTGATTTCATGTTAGAATAGAACTTAGATGATTTGGGGTTTTATTCCCCAGTAGAGGCTTTTCCTAGAATTCTCACTGGATCCAATCTCTAAAGGCTAAGGGAAGCTGTTTTCCATGACATCACTCTTGGACTACTACTAGTCATGGTGTGGAATAAGCAGAGAAGCATTAAATTAAAGTCTTCTGATGAAAAATAGCATTCAAGCAGGAGTGTTTTTTTCTTATAAGGGTTCTTGTATTATAGGATGACTAAATGCTAAACATACCTGAAAAGTGAAGTAATTTGGTGCCAGTCTGGAGGCTGGAGGACCCAGGGCCCTCCTAATAGCTTAGTTAAATGGTCATTTGCAGTTTGGTCCTGAGTTATAAAAATATTTTGATGACAAGCAAGAATTTCCAGTATTAAACACATTAAAGTTAACTTACACAACTGCTCCTCCCATATTAAAGTGAGTTTTCAATTTGAGTAGTGTATTGAGAGTAAAGTGACCGCTAATAGAGCTAAAAATTTAGTCTGTCTTTAAATTTGTCTTTTGTTTTAGATTGGTATGTTGAGTTGAGAAGTTGGCTGCTTTGAGATTGTCGAATTTACATTTTTTCGCTTTATAGGTTACAGAAGTGAGAAATGTTATGACTCAGAAATTAATTCTGTTTTTATCCGTAGTAAGCCTTTGCATTCTCTTTTCAGTATGCAACTGTGGCATTTTCTGCATAGGCATCAATTTTGGTAGGAGAACAGTTTGGGGATGAAGATAGTATGAAATTATTTAAATTTTTCATTGAGGATAAGTATATTATATCAACCTCTGAGAATCTAGCTTTTGCATTGAATACGTTAAGCTTTTGTATGAATTTTCAAGCAGCTGTGGAAGGAATGTGAAAGCAATGAATTATTGCTTATGGCATAAACATAGAGGTTAATTTTGAAATGTCTTTTAATTAATTGCCTAGAATTTTGCCTTCACATCAGAATGGCAGCCTTATAACTGAAAAGGAAGCATTTAATTTATTTGCCTTTAATTTCCTGTCCAGTTGTACCCCCACCAAACTTTTTTTTTTACTGGTCACTAGAGAGTTTGAAGTGTTCAAAATTTCTGTGACATAAATAGCAGTAATAGTCTTCCAGGGCACAGGTAGGAATAGGAAGAGGTTGAGGTTTGTGCGTGCATGTGTGTGGTCACTTATCTCTTATACTTTCAGTTCTCAAACCTGTGGTCTC